CGGCAAGGGTGGGCTCAGACTCCCTGCCCCGGCATGTCATCAGCGGCGCGGCGCCCCTCTCTGCCCCGGGCCCGCTCCCCGAGGGCAGCTGGAACCGTGTTTGGGGAGCTGGGTTTGGTCCCCCCACTCCCGACGGGAATGTGACTCTTCTCCTCCCGCATGCTGCTGCCAGATGAAGACAGCCTGTCTGGGGACGCCAGCGACCTGAAGATGTCCACCTCCCAGATCAAGAGGAAGAAACGCCGACACAGGTAAAGCCCGGGAACCAGCCTGTGCCCGTTCTCACCTCCTCGCTGCTGCCACCAGCCTCCAGCTGTTCCTCTGATCCTCATGCTGGGGCGGTGGGTGTCCCCAAGAAAGCGGAGGGCTGCAGCTGGGCTGGGGGGAGGATTTTCCGGAGGAAAACCTCAGCGGGGAGAGGGCTGCCAGCCCCGCTGCTTGCCGTAAGGGTCTGGACTGTGTCACAGGATGCTCTCTCCCCCCGGCAGGACAGTGTTCACAGCTCAACAGCTGGAGGAGCTGGAGAAGGCTTTCAATGAAGCACACTATCCTGACGTCTATGCCCGAGAGATGCTGGCCGTGAAGACGGAGCTGCCGGAGGACAGGATACAGGTAGGTGGCCACGACGGTCCTCTCTCCCCGTGAAGTCTGCGGGCTACCAGCACCTGGCAGTCTCTTCTGCTCTGTGGCAGAAAGTACAGGTGGTGGGAACGTGGCGGCACTGCATTGCTGCAGGGCACCTGGGGGCACCAGCCACCAAATGGAGAACCAGGGTACTGAGCTGGCCTCAGCAGCTGCTCACTGCTGGCAGCTTGGCTCTGTTCTCCCACTCAGTCAGGAGCTGAGAACAATTCAGGAGCTGCTGGGCCAAGTTGTGTCCACTAGCTCACTCACTAGCTTGCCCCTTTGAAGGACACATGGCATTTTAGGGCCTGGTCCTGCCCCACTGTGGAGCAGCTCATTGGTTTACGAATGGGGGTGGTGGTCTGGGCTGCAGCCTGGTTATATCTACACCCCTTGAGCCTTCAAATACAGGAAGAGGGTGGAGAGAGGGGCCTGAGCACCCTCTGTCATAATTGCTTACAGCATTATGGAGCCCTTTTCCTGGAGAGCCTGGTGCTCCATGGCTCAGGCAGAGGGGCCCTGCAGGCAGGTGAAGCATAGGGTGACTTTGGCTGGGATCATCTTCCTGTGTCACAATCAGCCTCGTGTAATGTGTGCTCCCTCTCCCCCTCCTTCCTCCCCTCTCTGACACCCACGTGTGTGCCCTCCTTCACACCCCTCCCCATGCACCACCCTGGCTGCCCTCCTGGTGCCACTTGCGTGTCCGCACCCTGCATTGGCACTCCCAACCCCCCCCCATGCACCCCCGTGGCTGCCCTTTTGCCCTGGATGCACATTTCCCTGTGCTCAATGGGCCCTGGACACCCGGCCATGGGAGCTGTCTCCTCCCCAATCCTACCCCTCTGTGCTCTCCTGGCTGTTACCCCTGAAGGTTTGGTTTCAGAACCGAAGAGCCAAGTGGCGGAAGCGGGAGAAGTGCTGGGGCCGGAGCAGTGTGATGGCTGAGTATGGCCTCTATGGGGCCATGGTGAGGCACTCCATCCCTCTGCCTGAGTCCATCATCAACTCTGCCAAGAGTGGGCTGGTGGGATCCTGCGCCCCGTGGCTGCTGGGTAAGTGGGACCTTGGGGCTGGGAGGGTCAGGGGGCAGCTGTGGAGCGAATGGCCCTTCCTCTTTTGCATGGCTGTCCTTGCCTTTTCCCAGAAAAGAACAGGGCTTTGTCCCTGGGCTGTACACAGCCTGCCATGTGTCCCGGCTTTTCCACTCCCTCCTTGCAAAGAAGAGCTGGGAAAGGGAAAACCTTTCACTGCTCTGTCAGACAGGTGCCTGCACATGGCTAGGTATTGCTTTGTAGTGCTAGCAGCCAGTTTGGGAGTTGAAAAGTGCCAAGGAAGTAATCACCATCCCCTCCAAACTAAAGATAATATTAATACTACCTTAGAGCTACCCTTTGCTCGTACACAGTCCTGCACTGAGGTGGCGCTCAAAATCCGGGCTGGGATGGGCCATTACAGCACCTCTCTCCCTGTAAGTCTTCCCTGCTGCAGTGGAGGTACAGACTGATTTTGTCACAAGTAATTACCTCTTGCTGCAGAGAGTGGGCGGCAGGGCTCTGGGTTGGGAAAGGCTGGTAGCTAGTTTTCCTCGGGATGCAAGTGAGAATTGAAGGAAGCAGCAGGAGTACAGGACGTGATGCTGAGCAGTCCCAGGCAGAAATAAGCAACCAGCACCCTTGGCTTTGCTCTCTCCCCTCTGCAAGGCATGCACAAAAAGTCCATGGAGGTGAGCAGGAAGGCAGAGAGCCAAGAGAAGCTGGCAGATGGCTGGCGAACAGAGCAGGAGGAGGAGGAACTCAAAGGGAAGCAGGCCAGTTCCCAGAGGGGCTCTGACAAGCTTGGCCCTGCAAAAGACTCGGAGGACACAGCCATCGACCTCTCCAGAACAGCCAAGCATGAGAAGAGGGGCGTGCTGAGGCAGTGCATCAACGGGGACCCCCCCACAGAGCAGAACGACAGGGACCACTAAGCTTGGGCTGCCCTGAAGGAGGCCAGACCTCACAGCTCCCTGACAAGATAATATTTATTGATTTATTGATATATTTTTTCTTAAATAATTGAACTTTTATCTGAATTCAGGGCATTTTAAAACTGGGCACACACATCCCCTTGTCCCGTCACTTTAAAGCTGTTCACTTCTCAGCAAAGCCAGGGTGGAGGGTGGGAGAGGTGTCCCAGTGGGGCCAAGAGCAGTGCGAAAATGAGACCAACCACTGCTGGGGAAGAGCTGCCCTTCCCCTCTGGGCTATGACTGCTTCTCTGGCTAGCCAGGAGCACAGAGAGGAGCAATGCAATGGGAGTCGCTTCCTCCTCCAATGCGCGGGTGCAAAGATGGTGCAGGAGTTTCCCGACGCCTTCTCCAAGCACTTCCACCCCTGCACAGTGCCCGTGTGGCAAGCCCCTCTACGCTGAACACACAATTCTCCCACCTCAAGGAGCAGCAGGGTTTTTAAACACGGTAGGGTTCATCCTTAAGCCAGTGTAACCTGGCAGACACGCAGGTTTATACCTCTTGAGGATCTGACCTTCCAATGCAGCCTTATCACTGGATTTACACTGTGTAGCTTCCTGAACTCATATTTGGGAGAAGGGGGTAAAGACATTTTTGTTTATGCAATGATTTTGTACACTCTTGAATGTTACCTGCCACACTATGCATAATAGAACAGACCTTTTTGAAAACCAAGCCATAGTTCCCCAGAGCAATTAAAAGATTTTGTGAATTGACATAAGAAGGTATTTTGCATTTGTCTGTAAAAAGTGTTAATGTCAGAGCTGTTTCTTGGTCACCCTATATTTATGTTTAAAAGCACTTTAGTGATCTGGATTTTTGAATGTGGCTCTTCCTGTATTGTCCACCATTTATTTATTACACATCCATAAATAAAGTTGTGGTGTATCTTTGGTTTTCATGCCCTGCATTGCAATTTACACCTTCCTTCAGCACACCTTGTGGCAGTTGCTGAACTGGCCCATGCACACGCTGCGACAGCTCTTCTGGAACACCTCCAGTTTCATCTGCCAGCCAAAACATAACAGAAAATTATCAAAAGGTTTTATTAAAATCTGAGTAATTCCAATTTGGAAAGTTTCCTAATACAGCTCAGGGGGTGCATGGCCATGTAATGATGCTGTCACCTGTTCCTGCTCCTTGCACACAGGCAGCCACAGGCTGCACTGGACACAGGGAGAGTGGTGGGACAAGAGCTGGGAAGAGCCGAGCAATAAGTGGCATGTGCAGATTTCCTGCCTTTCCCCTCCCCTGCTTAGCCAGGCCCCACCAGGCAGCAGGGGGAACATATGCATGGCAAATAAAAGCTTTGCAGCAAAAAAACTGTTTGCTGGGGGGGCTGTGGGGAGCACAGTTCAGGAAAGGACCAGCCAGGGCTTATTGCAGCAGCAATTAGGCTCACCGAGAGCCGAGACTTAGCACATTGGAGGCCTAATCCTGCCTGAGCAGCATCTGCAAACCTTTTATTTGGGCTGTGCCATGCTGGCACTGGATGCTTGCAATCATTTTTTTTTCTCTGCGTGCAGATGGCCTGGCTTTTCACCTTGTGCTGAGTGCAGTGCTGTGAGAGCAAGCACGTCACCACCACAACCGCTACAAGGAGAGACACCACAGTTCCAGCCCTGCACAGGGCACAGACAACTTTCCTGGTAGTGCCTGATGGGTTCCCAGCTCTCACCTCACGGTGTGAAGGAGGAGCCAAGGGGAGGGTTGCTGGCCTGAGGCACTTTTTGTGTGCTGGGAAGTAACTGTGGAGTGCAGGTGCTGGTGCATGACAATGACTACCCAAGGCTCAGCTCCTGCTGGCAACCCTGGTGACAGGGTCTGGTGGTGCAATCCTTGGAGTAGGTAGTCATTTGCCTCTTAGCTGCCTGCGCTAAACTTGGCAGGGAAGTGCTTGCTGTCCTCCATATGTCACTGTGGTTGGAGCAGTGGAAGGAGCAGGGCACCGCATTCTTCTTGTCTTTGTTTCAGATTTGATCCATCCTGAGATTAGTGGCAGCCAAACCCAGCTACAGCTCCTGCCAGTGGTGGTTCAGGCCTAGGCCAGTCACAACAGAACAACAGGAGAAGTCCTGACTTAAGGCAACAGCTGCCACTTGCAGTCATCCCCAGTGCTGCACTGGGGTTGCCCATGCAAGACCCAGCAGCTATCTTGGTGAACACATCCAGGCCTGACTGCTGTGGTGCCTTAAAGGTCCCTCAGTCACAAAGGCTGGACTTGCTTGGGGGGGAGATCCCTTCCCTGTGGCTCAGGCAAGAGGAGTCAGTAAATTCAAAGCCACTGTTCAGCAGCCAGCACTGCTGCAGCCTCACCTCGGTTCACCTGGGCTGCCACCCACCCTGGCACATGCAGATCACTTCACTGTGCAAACTAGCCAGGGACTTACACGATCTGCCAAACCAATCATGGAAGCAGGGATGAAGAAAGAGCATAAAATGATATCATTTGCCATCTCTTTGCTTTTATGGGATTGGAAGCCAACAGTCAGGCACATCTGGGGGTTGCAAGGGCATAGTGGGGGCATCCCAGTGATGAGCCCAGAGCAGAGAAGGCTGAGCAGAAGCATCATTTCCGTACAGCTTAGTAATATTCATTGCTAACTGGCATTTTGCTTTGGCCCCATCCTCCCAAGCCGCTGGCTGGATTTTCAGATCGGGAGGTTAGGAACGCTTTGTAAGCGCTCCCTCGTGTGGAGCGGGGTGATGGCACACGGCAAGCAGCCCAGTAACGGGGAAGGCTGCCTGGAGCCCTAGAGGCAACTGGAAGCCTCGCTCCTTCCCCTTATTCCCACAGACCCCGTCTAGCTGTGGGGCGACATGCAGGGGTGTCTGGATGCAGAATTAGAGAATCCTACAGGGTTTGTGTTTCATTACTCCCTTCTTGGATCACCAACAGGCACTTGGTACAAAAAACAGACGCTCACCCAGAGCAAGCTGGGTTCAGGCAGAGAACACAGGCACTGATCAGAGGCTCTGACTTTATCCAGACTGCTCCAGGTACAATCATGTCCTGGGGTGCATCAGGCAAGATATCAGCAGCTGGTTTAGGGAAGTGATTGTCCCGCTCTGCTCTGCACTGGTGCAGCCTCACCTGGAGTCCTGGGAGCAGTTTTTGGGCACCACAATATAAACAAGATATTAAGCTATTTGAGAGCTTCCAAGGGAGGGCAGTGAAGACGGTGAGGGGAAGCCATACAAGGTGCAGCTTAGGTCACTTGGTCTGTTCCTCATGAGGGGAAATGGAGGGGCTGGCACTGATCTCTCCTCCGTGGTGACCAGTGACAGGACCTGAGGGAATGGCCTGAAACTGTCAGGGCAGGTTTAGGTTGTCTATTAGTAAAAGATTCTACACTCAAAGGGTGGTTGGGCACTGGAACAGCTCCCCAGGGAAGTGGTCACAGCACCAAGCCTGGTAAGACTTCAAGAGGTGTTTGGACCACGCTCTCAGGCATTCTCTGTGATTCTTGGGGTTGTGCTATGCAGGGACAGAAGTTGGAGTGTGATGATCCTTATGGGTCCCTTCCAACTCAGGGTATTCTATGATCCTATGATTTTCAAGGTTAGTTCAGCACCGACACCAATACAACTGCAGTCTCATAAACCATGCGCACCTATTCAGGCCACAAAACCTCACCAGGCCTGCACCAGGGAGGGCACCCTGTTCTGCCCACAGTGCCATGTCCCCCCGATTCACAATCCACTGCTGCGAGGATCGGGGGGGTGGGGGGCAGGGCGGCGAAGTCCTCGCCTGCCTTTTTGGTCCCATTCCCCCTCTCTTCCGC